CCATGGAGACAAGTATATACCTTTGGTGTAACCACACATTTATTTTGTGGGGGGAGAGAGATGTCTCACCCAATACTGAATAAATACCAATCTGTCTCCCCCCCAATATACAGTAGAAAATATGTTAAATGTGTCATTTTGTGAGCACTGTCAGTGGATTTTATCTCTTATTATTATCTGTTTATTTTCAATTTATTTCCATTTGTTAAAGAAAACAGAAGTGTGACTCCCACTTTGAATGTGAACAGTTTAGTAGCACACAGACATATACTTCTGAATTCACAATTAAAATCAAGATTGTATATTTAATTCTTTGTGCAAGTCCATGATTCAGTCTAAATGCGCAGACTTTTATTTTGAAATAAATCAGATTGACTTGGATTTAGTGTATTGAAATTTTTTTTGTTAAATGGATCAGTTTTTTGGTCAAGTACAGCATTAGTTGTTGTTCTAATCACAATATTTACATGATTTCTGTATGTTATCATTCCCTATTGGAAACTATCCTATTCACTACTACTGCAAAATGCATAATTCTAATTATAAGGTGTGTTTTAAATCAGTAAACATTATTCTGAGATACTAAGTCATTATTTTGAGATACTAAGTCAAAATATTGAGGACGTTTGTCATTATTTTGAAATACTACATAATTCAGTCTAAATGCGCAGACTTTTATTTTGAAATAAATCAACAAAATACAGATTAACTTGGATTTACAGTGTATTGAAATTTTTTTTTGTTAAAGGGATCTGTACAGCAAGTAGTAGTCGTTCTAATCACAATATTTACAGTAAGCAACTGACCAAAACAAAATGAAAAATGAAGTGGAGTGCCATCCACTATCTTTAGGAATCACAGACTGTAAATGTAGTCATAAATTTTTTTATAAATGTGCACATTTTCTCAAAGAATTGTGGGAAATCCATTAAACAAATTGTGGTGGCTCTCATCTGGACCCCCCCCCAATGTCTATGACATGGTTACGCCTGTCTTGTCTTGTTGCATTGGTGTGAACTGGCAGGGTTACAGAATGTTGCAGAACCTGTCTCTTTGTAAATCTTTGGGCTGAACTGGTCTTTAGATCATGTTGTCAACTTGTGAAAAAATTAACACGTTGATACGTGTCATGTAAATATGGAATCCCGTTTTCATTATAATAAGAAACCTTCTCAAAATGTTGACATAGAATCTCAAAATCAAGTCAAAATATTGATTCTCAAATCGAATACTTCCGTTAGTACACTTCTGTGTAGTACACTATGCACACTATACGTACTGTAGCGCACTTACTGGAAATGACGATCGCAACATTTTTACATTTATTGTGAGATACTAAGTCATTATTGTGAGATACTAAGTCATTATTTGGTGAGATACTAAATCCATTAATTGTGAGATAGCTAATCATTAATGTGAGATACCTAAGTCATTATTTTGAGATACCTAAATCATTATTGTGAACGCATAGCTAAATGCATGTATTGTGAGTACTAAGTCATTATTTTGAGTACTGATCATTGGATTGAGTGAGAATACTAAAGTCATTATTGGTGAGATAGCTTAGTCATTATTTTTGAGATACTAAGTGCATTATTTTGAGATATGCTATCATTGAATTGTGAGATACTGTAGTCATTATTGTGAGATACTTAGTCATATTGTGAGATACTTAGTCATTATTATTTTGAGATACTGAAGTCATTATTGTGAGAATACTAAAATAACTTATTGTGAGATAATAGGCCATTATTTGAGATACTAAATCAATTATTTTGGAGATAATAAGTTTAAAAAAAATATTTTAAGAAAGTTTCCTCCAAATGGATTATCGACTTAGCAGAATCCTTTTTTTTGGTGCACATTGGGGCCGGAAATGGAGCTTGCCATATACACTATAGAATGTTTTTATATATACTTTATATATATAAATATTTATATATATGTATATATTTATATACAACACATACACGTATATTGTACGAAGCGTATTGGCATTTACTTGTAAAAAAAAAAAGAAAGGAGTCATTTAATTATTTATTTTTTATTTTAAAATATTTTTTTGCTGAATTATCGAGATACTTCGAACTCCCGCCGAAAACCTCAAACCTGCAGTGACTCCACCGGACCAATGGTGACTCCTGACTTGCAAGCTATCTACCTCAGGCTGCGCTGCCCGTAGAAGTCGACAAACTAAAATGATAATACCATG